CACAAATGGCAATATTTCATTTTTTATGGAGGAGTAACATTCCACTGTATATATACACTACATCTTTTTATCTATTTGCCTATTGATGGGCACTTAGGTTGATTTCATATCTTGGCTATTGTAAATAATGCTGCTCTGCATCTCTCTTTAGTTTATTTCCACCTTCTTCTCTGAGGTTTTTATAAGATGAATTGTCAGTTCTTGATTCTTCTTCTACCATAATGACTCAGATTTTCATGCTTTAGTGTAATACCATAAAGATCTGAGAAAGCTGATCTCTTCCACTAAAGATTTTGATTTACATCTCAGGTGGAATCTACTTTTTAAGCAAGCATCCCAAATGACCTTAAGGAAGTCTATAATAGAAACACTGTTGTATAGATGTTATCTATGTTAATTTTAAACATATCCTTAATCTTCAAATTCTTGATTCATAAACTCAAGAATAAAAGGTAATTATTGAGTCCTTGCTGTGAATTAGAAAACAAATACTTCTCCCTCATCAACAATACCATCCTGCTTTATTTTTATATATCTTCAGTATCTAATATTTAAAAATATTTCAATTATATTTTATTCTACAACTTTAATTTCTGGAGTTGTATAGTTTTAGTTCTACATGTTATCTTTAGCTCTACATGCTAGCATATATTGACTTTTTCTGTTCTAAAGTTCTTAGTTTGACTCTCTTTTGTTGGGGGCTAGATTTTTCTTTATACTAAGCTATAATATTTTTCTTTGAATAAGGACGCATGGATGCTATGTTCCCTTAGATTTTGCATATTGAGGATAGATTGTCTTTCTTTTGCATTAAAATAATATCAATAATATCCTTAGGTTATATTTTTCCCCCTCAGAACCCTGTAATATTTTTCCATTGTCTTATAAAATTTAATATTGCCGTGGAGTAGTTTGAGATTTTTTTTTCCTTACCTGTTGGTCACTTTTTCTGACTGGAAGTTTAATAATTTTAGAAGAATATAATAAGGTGGCAATGGTATTATATAATTTTTATCTTAGAACCCAGTATATCCTTTTGGCTTACTGATTAATTTCATTACAGGTATGTATAAACACACAATGTACAGCATAGTAGTTAGAGTGTATCCTCTAGTCATATTTTCTGTTCAACCATTTTTTTAGCTGTTCAACCTTAAGAAAATTAATTACATGTTCTGGGTCTCTGTTCATCATTTATAAAATTATAACTGCTACAACACAGGGTAATAATAACTAATGTTATGAGATAATATATATAGAGTGTTTAAGCATATACATGGCATTCAAGAAGTATTTATCATTATCATTATTATAATTAGCTATTGATGTCAGATTTAAATATTTTTTTCTATTTGCTTTTTGTTCCATTCTATACTTCACCAACATTATGGCTCTGCATGTTTGCTCTGCTGTACCTATCCTGTATATTATGTTTTCTCTAAGTGGTTTCTAACTGTACATCTCTTTTTTTCTGTATTTGGCATGATTTTCTACAGCCTGAATTTTGTGTTACTGCCTTGATTTTTTTGCCATATTGATTTTCTTTCTTAAATATTTTAGATGCAGTTATTAGTGTATATGAAAATTGTTCATCCTTGATCTTTTGTTTCATATTCTCTTTCAATTTTTGCAAGGAAAACACTTTTTTAATGAAAGTTTTTAATATATCCTGAAATATTTTTTCCATTAATGGGTCATTATCTGTCTTTTGCGTGCTGAGCTCCTCTCTCTCTCCCTACGAACGAGTGAGAGAGAGAGAGAGAAAGAGAGCAGGGAGAGACAATGTCATTTGGTAGTTTTCCTGCACAGCTGCCATGCTGATTCTTTGTTTAGATGCTTCATTTTATAGGCAGACCTTTCTATAGGGTTTTCCTATTTGCTCAAATATAGCTTGGGTAGATTCTTCTGGATTTTGCTTGCACTAAAACTGGCCCTCCTTATGCATTTCTGTCTCTCTGCAGAGCTTCAGTTTTAGTTGGGTGTTGTTTTTGTTTTGCTTTTCCATTGCCATTTTATCCTTTACGGCTTTTGGACAGAGAAGAGAAAAACTGCACCTGGGTTTTTGGATTCTTATGATCTCCATTTCTCTAACACTTTTCACAACAGAAAGCAGTTAGACATCAGTTTTCTGTTTCTTCATCATTTTAAGGGCTGGGTGATATGTATGTGTGTGTGTGTGTGTGTACTGCCACACTCTCATAGTAGGTATGTAAACTATAGTAGAACTTTTCTAGGGAACAATTTGGCAATATGTATCACCATTTTAAAGCATATACTTTTTGACTCAGAAATTTCACTTTAAGAAATATATTAGGAATCAATGGTGTGTAAACATGTCAGCAATGGGGTACTTATTTTAGTTGTTTATAATCAAAAACCACTTAGAGGGGCTTCCCTGGTGGCGCAGTGGTTGAGAGTCCGCCTGCCGATGCAGGGGACACGGGTTCGTGCCCCGGTCTGGGAAGATCCCACATGCTGCGGAGCAGCTGGGCCCGTGAGCCATGGCCACTGAGCCTGCGTGTCTGGAGCCTGTGCTCCGCAACAGGAGAGGCCACAACAATGAGAGGCCCGCGTACCGCAAAAAAACCAAAACAAAACAAAAAACACACTTAGAAACAATGTAAATGTCTAACAATAGGTGTTTGTTATATAGATTATGGTATATACATTCAATAAAATATTTTGTAGTTATTAGAAATGATGTATACTTATACTGATGTTTAAAGACACAGGTAAGTAGAAAATAGCATACACACAATAGTAGAGCATAATTATTTGTATAAAAGTATGTCATTAAGTGTGAAAAAAGGACAATGCTAACAATGATTATATCTGGGTGTGGAGTACAGGTGGTTTTCATTGCCTTTGCACATTTTTTTTAAAAGACTGACCATAAATTAGTTTTACAATCATAAAACAGTAATAGAGATAAAGAAAGAAAAATTGAGAAAGATACACACTGCTACCATCTCCAGAATAATAGCAACAATTTATGGAGTGCTCTATGTCTGGTACTGTATAAGGCCCTTAACAAATTATCTCATTTAATCCTCTCAGTAGCTCCATGAAGCAAAATCTTATTGTTTCAGTTTTCAGCTGAGGAACTTGAAGGACGGAAAAGTTAAACATGTGTAATGTTACACAGCTCACAGAAGACCATGCCTGAAGGTGAACCCAGTTCAGTCTGATTCTAACAGCTACCATCATCCCAGTGCATTCTATTGCCTCTGAGGATTGTCAAATACATTTCAATGCTTTTGCAGGTTACAGGTTTAACAGCTCATCATTCAAACTTTTGAATATTGGCCCTTATTTCATACTCTAAATACGAACTTAAAAGAGAATTAAAAAGACAGAGTAAAGACACACCCAACAAAGAAAAGTATAAAGGCAGATGACATTAACATTCATATTTCAATGTAAATCATTCTCTTTAACATAATGTTTTATGAAATAGAAAGAGTTCTTGACAAATGAGGGTCCAAATCATGGCATCGGAGAGTATCATTAACTTTCAAACCATCAGCTGACAAGAACAACAGAGGCAAATTTTCTTTCAAATATTCTCATAATCTGAGGATTTTCCTGAATTTTCATGTAACTTTTACCCAGTCATAGACCAATCATGCAGTATACTCTGATTTTGATTTTGGAAAATACATTATTTTTCAACCATTTTCATCATAAACCCGAACTCCAACTGTCAGACATATTTTCTTCTAAATGATTAGCATTCTACCCAGAATACTGCCCAATCAAATCAGTCTACTTCCATTTCAACAATAGTGGCTTCAGTTAAAAACAAGAACCGCAGCAACATCACAAATTAGATAGCCTGAGAGAACAGACATAGTAGGGGATTGGGACTAAAATAGTGAGTAACAAAATTTCAAACACCTCTTCTCCTGGAATCTACCTAATATCATTTATCAGACTCATGCTACGTATAACACAACAAGTAATGAAGTTAAAAGAACAACTTAAAATAGTAAAACAAACTAGCAATTTAAGAGGTTAACAATAACTGTTTCCCACCCCAAAGGTAATAACAATGAGGAATCAAGGAATTTGGGGTCAGAGCCACAAAACTAAGGAAGAACATGACACTTCAAGATATAATAATGACAGCTTCTCTGGCATCAAGTCCTCATAGGAAAGATTCACAGCGTTCAGTATCATTCACTGCCTCACCAAGAAATAGAATGAAAACAAATGAGAGGTAGGCAGTAGATGATAATGTGGAATGGTGACAATCACCATCTTCCTCCTCCAGTTTGGCGGGTGATGTGAATGACAATTTGCCAATTAAGAAATGTAAACACATGAGGATTCAGAAACTAAACTCTAAGTTTTAGCCCCCAATGGGCTTTCTTTGGAGTTCATTTAAGTCAAGAGCATTGTCAAGAAACAATCTCAATTATTGCCTCTTATCTATCATTATAACAACACTGGGCCTGCTGAGATAATACTTATTTCTAAAATATAAATAACAATAAAGGAACAAGGACTTGATGCAAACATAACATTCTCACACACAAGTGAATGATCTAGGGCAGAAAATATAGGTTCCTGAATTCTAAGCCAACCTACGGAAGGACTGTATAATTCTCCACCTATTCCACCAACCCAAAGAAACACAACAAGAAAACTAAGAAATGCCAGAGTATAAAATGATACTCTATACTCTATACTCTCAATACAAATGAAAAGAATACGATTCGCTCGTTTTCTTTCTTTAGCACAACAATAATGTATGAGTGGAACACTGAAGCTTAGGTTCATCATAACTACGTCATAACTACATTTAACTACATTTAAAAAAAACAAACCCAGGAAAACCCCATTATGGTCTCATGAAAACATTTAACGTATCCCCACGTCTCAGGATACAAGTCCATAGGTTATCTGCAAAAACGCCATACATTAATTTAAAGGGAACAGCTAAACATATTGGCTCCAACAGAAATACAAATAAATGGATTAAAAACTGGCTATCTAACCGTATACAGAGAGAAATCGTAATTGGTAGTCCGTCTAGTTGGGGAGAGGTTTCCAGTTGGGTCCCACAAGGATCGATATTGGGTCCCATTTTGTTTAATATCTTTATAAAAAATCTGGAAGACAAAGTAGAGAATGTGCTAATTAAGTCGACTGATGCCACTAGATTAGAATTGGTGGTTAAAGTAAATTGGCTATAGATAAATGCTACTGGTCTCTAGAAAGACCGATGCTAACAGAGACTAGAACTTCTAAATAGTTAGTTTTAATGTATCACTTACAAAATCTAGTTTCAAGCACTAGAAATAAATAAATTTAAAAGATCTTAGTGCTCTGTTTAACCAAAAATTTAGGTGTAATGGATAAAGACAACACAGAGACTCCAACACCCATGAATGCAGAATAAAGGATGCCCCCCCCAGTAGATCTTTTCGGTGCAGCTTTATTGGGAAAACTGGTGGTTGTGGGTCTCTTGATACAGTAAGGATATTGGAGGCATTTCAGATATGCAAGAATCAAGGTGGTGAAAAGACAGAAGTAACTAAAGTCTCAACTATATATACACCTAGTTATTGGCAGAAAAATAAACAAGAAAACAACATAAAGCTTAAAAGAAAAAAAGGGAGCGCTGAAAAATTGAAGGCATGAACAAGAAAAGTGGGAAAATTGATCAAGAGAAAATCCTATAAGGAAACACACACACACACACACACACACACACACACACACACACAATAGAAGAATGCAAGGTATAATAGGAGAGCTTTCCTAACACTAGAAAAAGAGACTGTAGTTTTTTAGCTACTCCTGAAAACACTGAAGAAAAATATTCAGTAGAACTCTTACTGGTTTGAGGTTTATTTTAAAAAATCTTAGTAGTTAACAATTTAATTTGTCGCATGGACAAACTGTTACTTTCACAACTGTGAAAGTAACAAGGCTTGTCAGCTACGGACTCATGTGTAGACAGACGGGTTTTTTTAGGTGATGTGAACTGAATATATAGACTAATCTGGAATCAGCTTTTAAATTTTATATTGTTTTTTCACTTGCTTGCACAGAGGAATGTACACTGGATAACGACTAGAAAACCTAGATCATCTCAGAAATCTTGTTAACTTTGCTATGCAACCATGGATAGTTAACTTTCCTTCAGAGCCTTAGTTTTTCCATCAGTTAAACGCCAGACTAAGAATTGTTTTAAGAGCTGCAGATAACTCTTGTTAAAATAAGAACTTACAGAAAACTTCATACAGGGAAGAGATTAGAAAAATGTGGAAGCATGCCTTTGAGCGACAGTGGGCTCCCACCTGGCTGGGCTTCCCATTTTCATCCCTCCTGCCCTCAGGACAGAGAACAGTTTAAAAATCACTTTAGACCATATGACATGCTGCTTCTGTCTCTAGGAAACCATCAATGGAACCAGAAAAAGTCAATCCCTCTCCTAGTGACTGATTGCTCCGGAGCATCCAACAATACTTAGTTGATTATATGTGCCTGATCTTTAAAAAAAAAACTGTAGAATTACAGTTAAAAAGAAGGAACATTCTTGATAAGAAATAGAGTGACATTATTCATGATGCCGACACAAAAGAAAGCATTGTGCAATCAGAGCCCTCTGTGGGTCTCCTCTAACCCTTCATGCTGTGTTAAAAAAAGAAAAAAAAAAAAAGGGGAGCCTGGAATGTTAGATGGCTACCTTTAAAAAATCTAATCAACATGGCTGTAAGTATTCTGGCCTAAGAAATAATTGATAAAGTTTGTAGTTGGCTTGCTATCGATTTTACAGCTAATACCTGTTGAAAAATGATTTCGTTGCTTTGACTTTAAAACTTCCAAAGTGAAACATTCCTCTGTAGGTAATATTTTTTTAGGGATAGGACTGCATCCTACATACTAGAGCATGTAGAACGCACAAGCAAGTATCGCCAATAGGTCTGGAGACTGTAAATTTTATTTTGAAAAGTAATAATGTTTATCGTTTATAATATTTTGTTAATATTTATCACTTACCTAGTGCTTATCATATACTGGGGACTATACTATCTTCTACACTTTATCATAACTTCATAACTTATGAGAGGAATTAACTCCATTTTACAGATGAGGAAACTGAAGGGTCAGAGAGGCATTTTTCCCCCCTATTATCACACTACTACTAAATGGGGGGTAAATATCAAACCTGACTGACTCTAAAATATCTGTTCAGAACTGCTGTGCTAAACGATAACTCCTGATACCATGATGTTATTGCACACTGATCAAAGAAAGAAGAGACTCCACTTGTGCTAAAGAGTTTTAAGAATAGGACACGTATCTTACATTTTTCTCAAGTTTGAAACCGGTGGATTGGACTAGCGTAGAGTTTTTTAATCTCAGCAGTACTGACGTGCTGGGCTGGATAATTGTTATGGGAGGCTGTCCAATGCACTGTAGGATGTTTAGCAGCACGGCTGGCCTCTACCCACTAGATACCAGTGGCAATCACCTCCTCCTGGTTTTGATAATCCAAAACATCTACAGACATTGTCAATGATCCTCAGACGGGAGCGGGGGGTGGGGCGTGGTGGCAAAACGGCCTGAGATTTGAGAACCACTGTACTAGAAACATTCTGGTATCTTTTTAGTTCTCTCATTCTATGCTCTGAATTGTGGATCCAACTTCAGCCAAGAGGATGGATGGGTTTTGCATCTCTATGGGGTACCTGCCCAGTGAACCATTCCCTACCTCCATCTCAGTACATTGAGTTTAAAACTACCTGAAGCTCTCCAGGTTCAGTCTGCTACAAAACTGCCACTCTCTGGTACTTAAATTTATTATGTAAATGCAAATTGGTATGAAAAAATAGGGTAGGTGAAAGTGAAGAGAGATCAGATGTTAAGCCAGCTTTGCTTTAGGCAATTTATTGAGACTCATTTCAAACTGCTGTCCTAGGAGATTGTTTTATTTGTTCATTTTCTTTACTAAAGGTACTCTATCAGGAAAATTGTAAAATGGGTTTAAAAAGCATTCCCTATTTGACAGCCCGAGAGAGTCATAATGCTACCTTGGAATCTATTAACAGATTCCAATAAGTGAAACCTGGAGCACTGAAAAGAGATTGACAACTTCCTAGATCCTGTGGTTCACTGGCTTATAAGGGCCATTCCTAAAATTTGCATCATTATGAATATCATAATGATATTTGATATCATTATGATATCATTATTTATGGTGTGCTACCCTTGGAATTAAATTGAAGTTAGAAATATTAAAATGTAAATTCAATAATTATTGGATGGTTAAAAATCCCAGATAGCTTAAAAGTATTACTATTTTCCTAGTTCCATCACTATGAACTATTTACCAAATCCAACATTATGCACTACTTTATAAACGCTATTTATGGCAGATATTAAAATAAGTCCTTGTTTTTTTGTCTATTTTGAAGCACCTAAATTTGCACTATGGGAAAATGCATATGTAAATATTCTGTTCAGTGCAGAAAGTTATATAACAGGAAGCCAGGTGAAGTCACATTTTGAGAGTAAAGATGGCTAGATCTATTGGAACTATTGTCGAAAGCCTCAAAATTGAGATTCTAAATCTTGAATGCAAATAAGAATAATATTTGGAGAATTAAAAAAAATTATGATGCCCAGGCATACCCCAGGACAATCAAATCAGAATTTCTGGGGATGAAACCCAGGCTTCAGTATTTTTTAATGCTTTCCTAGTCATTTAATTGCGCACCCAAAATTGGGAATTGCCTTCAAGAATAAATTGGATTTACAACTGTGTAGGAATTTTTCTTTGGCTATGCCTGACTTAAGCAACATGGTAGCCTCCTGTACTCAAATGTTTCAAGGATTTTAAGTAGTACATGTGCAAGGCATTAAATAATTATCTGTCACTTAAAAAGAAAGTTATTCATTTTTTCCCTTCCACTTCTTTTTCTGTCCATCTGATGACTTCAAGAACAAAGTCTCAGGTTGTTGCTGGTGGGTCTTTAGCACTTTAGCACCTGTCTGTACATGCTTATTTCCTTTTTAAATCAATGAGAATGCAGAGCTCAGGCCTAGAGCCTTTATCTAGTATAACCTAGAATTTAATAACATAGTTTCATTTTTATTATACTTAAGATTATCTTCCAGCAAGTAATACTGATTTAAGTGATATGAAATTTCCTTTTTAAAAATAAATTTAAATAAAGTGAGTAAATTTAAATAAACATAAAGTAAATAATAGTACATATTATACTCATATATGGAATAAGTCACAAAGGTGGTTCTCAGATGACTATGGTTTGGGCCACCCTAGTGTTAAGGTAAAGGGCATCTAAATGTTGTACCATAAATTTGGGCCCTAATTGTGCCTCCATCACTAATTATCTCTTCCCTGGGCTTTGGTTTGCTCATTTGTTAACAAGGCCATGAACCTATATTGCAGGCATTCTTCTATGAGTTTAAGAAGCAAGGAGGGCTTTGCCCTTTGAACTTACCTTGTTGACATCCAGACGCATCTTCTCATTGTTGGCACTGGCAGCCTTTTCAGCTGCTTTCTTTTGGCGTTGAGGTCCCCTCCCAAAAAAGATGTAGTTGACCAAAGCATATTCCAGAAGGGCCATGAAAACAAAGACAAAGCACCCCATCAGGTACATGTCAATGGCCTTCACATAAGGGATTTTAGGGAGAGTTTCCCGGAGGTGGGTATTGATAGTGGTCATTGTTAGCACAGTTGTAATTCCTGTAAAAAATGAGAGAGTTAGAGTAATAATGTTTGTATTTCCTTTCTGCTTTCATCATAGCTGGAAAGGTTAACTGTATTCTTTTACTTGTTTATAGATACTGCAAAATATATACCAGGCACTTATTATATAGCAGCCCTGTGATAGGCCCTGGCAATATGCATAAATCATTAATTTATAGTAAACATTAATCATTTGGGGGGCATTTCCTTTAATTTCATTTTTATATTTATAGTTATGTATCTAGTGGGGGGCTAGAGATGTGAATTAAATGCTATGATAGACATGTGTGTAAGGTGAAAGTTGAGAATATGGAGAAGATCCTAGTTTAGCCCATGATGTGGCAGGGAAGAGATCAGGAAATACAGACTTCAGAGCTGAGTCCTGAAGAATGAGTGGGAGTTACCCAGGCAAACAAAACCTGGAGGTCAAAAGTGATAGTAGACCTAAGGGCATTGGTGGTGGAGAGAGTCTATTTATTTATTTTTTTTAAAAATAAATTTATTTATTTATTATTTTTTGCTGTGTTTGGTCTTTGTTGCTATGCACGGGCTTTCTCTAGTTGTGGTGAGCAGGTGCTTCTCTGCTGCCGTGTGCGGGCTTCTCATTGTGGTGGCTTCTCTTGTTGCGGAGCATGGGCTCTAGGCCTACGGGCTTAAGTAGTTGTGCCTCGCGGGCTCTAGAGCGCAGGCTCAGTAATTGTGGCGCACGGGCTTGTGGGATCTTCCCGGACCAGGGCTCGAACCCGTGTCCCCTTCATTGGCAGGCGGATTCTTAACCACTGTGCCACCAGGGAAGCCCGAGTTTTTTTAAAGGGGTGCTTTGTGGGGGTGAAAGTACACAGCCCATCAAAAGAATCTCAAGAAACTCAATGTGGGTACATTATAGGATATGATGGGAAGAATGATGAGGAATGTGGAGAATAAGGGCTGCATAATGGAAAGTTACATACACAGAGCCTAATGCAGAACTTGAACTTAAAATTGAAGGCAATGTGAGGCCACTGACCAGCTTCCAGTAGGGAGGTATCAGGGACAAACTGTGTTTAGGACGCTCATGAGGGTAAGCATGCAAGACAGGAAGCAGAATACCAGCTGAGAGTTTTTCAGAATAAGTAAGTGATGAAGGGGAAATAAATTAAAATCATTGTAAAAGTACTGAACTCAATGAATGCATTAAACAGATGATATGAACAATGATTGCAAAAAATATGGAAACCAGAGGTGGAGAGTAACAGAGAAGCAGCTGTCTAGCCTTCGTGTTTCTGGGTTGGGAATGTAGGCACATAATGCACAGATAAATAATATAGAAGTATTACAAGACTCTAAGGGAAACGCCACACTATGTCAGGTTATTACTATTAGTCCAGCTGAGGGAACATCTCCAACAGTGGGGAGTAGTTTCCCCAAAGCTGTAATTGGAGGGATAGACAGAGATACGCTGGGTAAAAGCAGTGGGAGTCCAGAGCCCTGAGTTTCCTACAAAGGTCCAGCTTTGTAGGAAAAGAGTGATGTGAAAACAGAGCTCTGAGGTCAAGATCACACAGATGGGAAGTTGCAGAGTCAAAATTTGAACTGGGGTGTCTCTGACTCAGAAACCTGTGCCCTTAAACACTACCCAATAACACAGAACAAAAGTTAATTTTCAATTCTATTCTTCAGGAACATATGTTTTCTGATTTAATTTTTTCTCTCTAATAAGATCATAATTTTTGCCTTGCTTTTCTATATGCTCATGAAACAGATACAGAAAAAATAAATTTGAGCATCCAATTCTGAGCATGGCCAAAAAAATATGGTTATACTTTAGATCTAGGTATTTTATAGTTCTCACATCTTTTCTATGTTAGTCATTTTGACACATTTTCCAATTTTACTTTTCTCTTCAATTATTTCATCTAGAGCTTATCTTGGATGACATGAATATTACATTTATATTATAAAACAGACAACACTGATTTTACTATTTATCTAAATCCCATGTTAAGGTGTTTCTGACCTAGTAATAAACTGCTCACATAAAAGACATTTGACAATTTTCTTTCAAAAAGTAAATAACTTATGTATTATTCCTATAATAGGCATCAAATTGATAACAGATTTTCATTTTGGAATAACAGGATGTTTACAAATTCCATTCGTTACTTTATTCAGCAGCTATTTACTGGACACCATTCACTGTGTGAGACACTACAAATATAATGGAAGCAAAATTAGATATGGACCTTCCTCCAAGGTATCTTCAGTACCATGAGGAAAATGAACGTCACAAACCAAATAAATATAAATTATAACTGTGGCTGGTCTCCAAGGTTGGTCTATAGTATTTTAAGAGAATATATCACAGGGGACTTGACTCAGTCCAGGAGGTAATTAATTCTCCTTCCATCCCTGAACCACCACAATCTAATCTCAACACAGCAGCCAAAGTTATCCCTTTGTATCTGAAATCATGTCAGTTCTTTGCTCAGTGTTGCTCTAATTTCACTCAGAATAAAAGCAAAACTTTTATTATGGCCCCTGGACCATTTCATCATCTTTTAGTCCCCTCTCCCTGACATTATCTCTACTCCTGAACTCACTCTGCATCTGCCTTACAGGCCACCTTGCTCACTCGCTTGGCATGTTTCTACCTGAGGGCCTTTTCATCAAGCTGGAATGTTCTCATCCAGACATTTATGTGACTCAATCTTCTTCAAGTCTTTATCCATTGGCAATCAATGAAGTCTACCCTGATTGTTCTAAACTGTACCCCTAGTATACCCACCCCCTTACCTTGCTTATTTCCACTCTACAGGTTTACCATATTATATAATTTGCATGTTAAATGCAAAATAAATTTACTTTTTTACCTTTTATTGCTAGAACATAACTTCCAGAAGAACACTGGCTTTATCTCCAGTGCTCAGTATGTTTGACACATAGTAGGTGCTCAAAAAATTTTTGTTGCATGAATAATGACTTTGCTAAGGAATTAATGATTTAATTGAGATATACTGGTGAAGCACTTAACTCAAAATTTAAAGGGATTAGTCAAAACTCAGAATAATAAAGATTGCATAAAAGGTCATACATTTACTATATCTGGAGTCAGCAACGTAAAAATGTTCATGAAATACAATTTATTCTCTTCCTCTGGTGTTATGATGGAAAAACATCATGCATAAGATAAGTGATGGCATGGATGATTTCCCAATATTCTTACTTTGTTGTCTCCTGCCCTCTGCCATGCTATCCCAAAATCTTAGTTAAGACTTCAGAATTTTCTGCTCATTGATTAGTTGCACATTTCATTTCTCTGTTTCTTGTTCAGAATAAAAAAAAAAAAAAAGATGGAAGAGAGCTCTTCCCAGGTAAGGAAACACAGATAAAAACAACAATTATCTAGCAATATTACATGAACTATGCTTCAATAAAAATATCAAGCTGATGGGACTAATTTCATTACCGACAGCTACATAGTTAACTAATTTTGACATGAAAGAGTTTTAATTTGTGTTTAACTGATTTAACGCTGAATCAGATCACCCAACGTCTCATAGCCAAATTCTTATAATGTGCGCAGTCCGGTCTCATCACGCATCGCAAACTCGAGGGTAAGGAAAGTGCATGTGCACTCAGGCGCACACACAGGCACACTCCACAAGCAGTCAGATTGATGCCTACCTAATGCCACTCTTGCAGCTGAAGCATCATAATTAATCCAGAAGGAGACCCAGGAGAGGATAGTGATCAAGATAGATGGCATGTATGTTTGCAGGATAAAGTAACCAATGTTTCTCTTAAGCTTAAAGCTGAGGGACAACCTGGGATAGGAACCTAGAAAGACAATTTTAAAACATCATCGTTATCAATCAATATTTATAGGATGCTTTTCTTTAAAGGCCCATAAACAGTTTGTATATCTTTCCTAAACTCAATTTTAGCTCCTGGTGAAGGGCACTTTCTTCTGCAAAAGTGGTCTGAGAAAACAGGGCTTTTAATTAGCAGGACTTACTCAGTGTTAAATATATTCCACACTCATCAGTAATTGAAAGAATTCCAGCTCTTCCCTCCTCAGCCTCCTACACTGAATCAAAGGTTCTCATTCTCTGCAACTGTGATGACAAGACAATTTGAGACAGTCCCTTTGTTCCCCCTTTAACTGTTTCTCAGCAAGTCCATCCTGTACATTTATGTATATAAGAATAAGGCTGCACACTCTGATTATAGGGAAAGAAATCTCTTCACAAGCCCCAGGATGCATTCTAAGGCAAGGATCAGTGGCAAGGCTGCAGTTAGTGCAGCAAATCCCTGAAATTTTGTGAAGGTTTTCATGTGTATGCAGTAATTTTTCTAATTTCATTGCTTCCATCAAAGTTTTAAAAGGATTCCTGACCCACCAAAAGGTGGAGAGTCACTTTTCCTGAGCAATGTTTGTGGGACATATAACTAAGGATCAGATTCTTGAAGCTGGGTCTTTTGATGGTAGGAACCTGGGGAATTACATTTTAAATGAGATATGTAACGGAATACAGTCTTACAACCTAAAAGAGTCACATTGATAAATGGTGTGAGTGTCTGTGTGTGTGGGGGGGGATATTCTTACTAACTGAAAGCCTTGTCTAGCCCTCTTGGACTGAAGCAAGTATATTAATATTAAAGTAAAAATATTTTAAGTAGAAACTCATTTCTATAGTGTCTCAGGGGTTCAAAGAACCTCAAACCTAAGAAAAGTTTCTGTTGTTTCTTTTGCAAAGCTGGAGGCTATTTTGTATTCTTGCTTGAAGTAGTTTTCAGGGACAGGAAGTGCCTGAGTCCTTAGCAGACAATTCAAAATCTACAGTTACTGTATTAGCTATTTCTGTGCTTGGGGAATTCATTTCAATAAGAAAAATATAAAGAGGGATATTCCTGTGGACTTATTTTTCTTTTAATGAGTATGGAGCAAATTACTGCATTCCTGGGCTTTTTTGTTAAAAATCTGTGCTGATGAAAACAAGTCTGACCTCAATACTGGAAGAATAAGAATGGTAAATGTATCAGGATAATCTCAACATCTGGAAAAGATTTTAGCTCCAAAACAGTAGGTAAGGCTACGTAAAGAAAGTCCTACCCTTTGAGAAAAATGTGAAGTCCTCCCACCCTACTGTGTTTAGAGAATTTCACTGTGGTCAGACTTGAGTGAACTATGACCTGGCTGTCCTCAGTATGTTTCAAGGAATTATGATAGTACATGAGAGACATTTGCTTTGCTGGGGGTGCCTTCTTGAAAGTAAATGGATGGGTTCCAAATGGGCTTGCTGGGGAACTGAGCATTTTCAGCAGATCTAAGTCTTCCAGAGTCCCCATCCTTCCCTGGGACCTGATCCTGATATAAGTGAACCCTTTTGGCAAAATATAGTAAACCCCTTTTCTCTTAACTATTTGCCCTGATACAAACCTGTGGAAAAAACAACCTTCTTGGTGATAAGTTTATAATCTACAATAGAGAACTGTGGAAGTTCAATCTTGGTTACTCCTGTTACTGCATTATCATCCCCACGCCAGTAAAACTCAATGTCATCAGTTGTATATCCATCTGTAAAAGGAAACACACAAACACATATACAGATACACAAAAAAAAAGACAAACAAAATAGAAAAAAATAACTGTTTAGGAAATGAACTGTATAAACAATAATAGCTACAGCTAAAGGTTATTATGTGTTAGGTATCACGCCAAGCACCTTAAGTATATTACTATCTTTAATCCTCACAATAATCCCATTGGGGAAGTATAATTAGGCTCACATGAGGCAACAAAGGCTTAGAGAAATTAACAGCTTATATTAAGTCTTGTAACTAGGAAGTGGTATCGTTGGGACTTGAACCTAGGTTTATCTGATTATGAACCTCATTCTCTCAAACAGCATCACATTATCACATAACCCTGGATTGTACTCTAAGAGAAGACAAAAGAAGAGAAAAATCATTTAAGTTATCAGTACAGTATTAAATGGTACCAAACCCTCCCCCTGCCAATACAAAATATCTGAATTACAAAATATTTGGATTTTAAGTCGGAAGAGAAGTGATTATGAAGAAGTGAGTCATTAATTTTTTAACATTCATAGACATGATCTCCAAATTTGATTTTGCAGCATATCTAAACCCCCCAAAAAATGCCCTAAAAATTCAAAACAACATATAATTTCCAGCAGCTTTAAGGAGTAAGTACAAATGTAGAGTGTACACCACAAATGCACAGTGCATTTAGGGGGTCTGGCTCCATTCATCCAACAATTACTTATTGAGCACCTACTATGCTTGTCAGTGCAGTTGCTGGGGATAGGACTCTGCACAATAAAAACATGACCTCCTTTATAATGATCCTTTCAATCCATGGGGTAGAGTGGGACAAACACACATATTCTAATTAGTAAGCACACATATAACTGCAGTGAATAAACACATATTATATTGCAAACAATGCTGTACAGGGAAGCATGCAATGAAATCCAGTGAATACCAATATTTTACAAACTCACGCATCCCCCACAAATCCCCCCAAAAGCATTCATTATATTTGTATATCACATTTATCTCTTCAAAGAACATTTGCACCCAGATAGCTGAATCTTTATGAGTCTAGGAGGCAGGCAGCACAGAGAATCTCCTCCAATTTCAAAAGCAATAAAACCAATGAGAAAACTGCTTAAGTTTCTGTCTTTTGACATGTAACTAGTTAGTTTAACACTGAGGATTTGAACATCAATTCTTTGATTCTTAGCTCTTATGATTTCCAAAAAACCACATTTCTTCCAAAGAGAGAAAGTCATATCTCCAAAAAAGTGGAAGCAAATTATTTTTCAAAGAACTACACTACCCTCAATTTGAGAATCTATATCAACCATAGCATAGCTCAGGCGTTGTCTTAACTTTTCTAGAAATCTGAAGTCTTCTTTATTCAAAAGAGTAGCCATCTTTATCTGATAATAGATATACAGATTTTTTGGAAGAGTTTTTGAAAACTTGAACTTGCAGTTCCCTAACAATAGGCTTTTGGATAATAGCTAATGATTTTCAAAAGGGTTATTTACTTGCAAACATCATAAATTGTAATAAAGATGGTGGAGTTTAAATAGATTATAGAACACCAACATTTTTATTAGCATGATCTCACTTAGAGCCTTTGTTTTGCTAGAGAATCTCTTTCTTCATAGAAAACTAGATTTAAAAGTAAATTACTCTTGGCTTTAAAGGAAACCCCACGTATTAAGTGAATGACACAGCAAGCTGATTCTCAGATAAGAGCTCTCACTCCTTATTAATCTACTCCATTAATATTCACTACCTAAACCTAAGAACTCAGGTGTCTGTCCCAAAGTATAACTGCTCTTTTTCTAAGATGGCAACTTTCTTAATGTGGCCATGGGAACTCTCAGAGTCCAGAACGTCAACTCAAATTAAGTCGCATTTGTCACTGGTTATCTGTACACATCTCTCAGTTATGAAATTGTTTAGAGTCAATGACAACCCCACCATTCATAAAACAGTTTAAAATAAAAAAGAGGGTCAACTTTCTCCTAGAATCAAGCTAGATATTTAGAAATGTATTGTAAAATTGAATCTGTGTATAAACAAAAAAAGGTATTTATGAAACAAGGAGGCAATAGTTTTCTAGAATGCAGCCATCTTTGAAACAAGAGAACAAGGGAAAAGTCAACTCACTACTGCCAATAGAGGACTAAGTATAAACTAGTGAAGGGTGTGTTTCTGGTCCTCCAGCTTCCTTTCCTCAGTATTTAGCTTCTTTTATTCATCACTACAAATCTTGTAACAGAAGCTCTCTGTAGGCAGAGGCATGGGAATATCAATGGCATTTCAATACAGCTGTACAGGAGATGCCTAATGGGTATTTAATAGGTAGAAACATTATAATAAAATACAGACTTCTGTCAAAAAGCCAGATATTTGACACAGTGCTTGCTAGACAATACCTGGCAGAGAATAGGTACTTGGGATAAATTATTGAATTAATACAACAATTATTTAATATACATGTGGTTTTGGACAATGGTTGTTTATCCAGATGCTTGGCAATGTGAAGGTATTCATCATGTTAATATCTCTGTCTCTTGCTCCTAGCACAGTACCTGGCACATAGTCGGCATTAAATGAATATCTTCTGAGTGAATTCAAAAAAATTCACCCAAGGATAACATAACCCTTGAGAATAATCCAAAAATCCTTCATTATATATTTTTCCTTATGTATTAGTTGGGCAAGCTACCTAGCCTCTCTGTGCTCCATTTTCTCATCTGAAAATTAGGATAATAACAGTAATAGCTACTTCACAGAGCAGTTATGCCAGAAAAATAAGTTGTTCCTTGTAAAATACTTTAGAAAAGTAACTGGTAGATAGTGCTCAAAAAGGTTAGCTAATACCTTCTCTTTAAATAAGAATTATTTACCATTGCAACAAAAAGAATAAAACACCTAGGAATAAACCTACCTAAGGAGACAAAAGACCTGTATGCAGAAAACTATAAAACACTGAGGAAAGAAATTAAAGATGATACAAATAGATGGAGAGATATACTATGTTCTTGGATTGGGAGAATCAACATTGTGAAAATGACTCTACTACCCAAAGCAATCTACAGATTCAATGCAATCCCTATCAAATTACCAATGGCATTTTTTACAGAACTAGAACAAAAAATCTTAAAATTTGTATGGAGATACAAAAGACCCTGAATAGC